CTAGGACCACCCTCTCCGGCCTGGTTTCCCTCGTTCCCCCGACGCCTCCCCCCCCCGCCTTATTTCTCTCCGCATTATTTTCCTACGGAGCATATTCCCGGGGAGCTCCCTGGGAATGAAGGCGATACCACGGAGGCCTTGTCAGTTCAAAGCATTTGAGGAGTTGTTTGAAAATCTTCTCCTCGTCAAAGTAAGCAGCCCGGTGTATTTGAACAGCTGCTTTGAACGGCGAGGGGCGGGAAGGAGAAGAAGCACTGAGGGGAATGAAAAGGAAGGGAAAGAAAGGGAAACAGAGAGAGAGAGAGAGAGAGAGAGAGAGAGAAACTACCAAAGGGTCTACCCAAGACGCCTGCTCACCAACCTGCTTTTCTGGGGATAGGAGGGAGGGGATGAAAGAAGGGCTCCAGACTGAGACCTCTGATCCATCAGGATCTGCGCGCCGAGAAAAGACACGGACACACAGGACCGTCTCTTGCAGTCACGAGCTCGCACGCACGCACGCACAAACATGCACACAGAGGGCGCCCCGAACCTGCGGCACGTCGGAGGCCGGGATGGTTCGATCCGAACGGAACCAGGGAAAGCGCGTGTCTCGGGCTACGCGGCCCAGTCCCAGCCCTCGCGCACCCTCCTCCTGTCCGGAGCCCAGAAATCGAGGCTCCTTCCTCGCTTCTAGGAGCGGTCTCCTCCTCAAGGAGGGAGGGAGGGAGGGAAGGAGGGCGAGGGGAGACTTTTAGGAAGTGTATGAATGACCAGGAAGTCCAGAAATGAAGAGGACGGGGAGGCGGGACTTGGGCTGGCCGCCAGCGACGCCCGCTTGCGCTCTCCTTCCCGAGATATGCCCTCGTATCTTGAGAAGGAGGATGGGTGGGTGCGTAGAATGAGGAGTCGGCGCTTAGGGAGGCTCGTGCTTTCTAGCTGCCTGGTTTGCATGGAGTTCCTTTTGCTATGAAGTGGCCATATTAAAACCCCGCAGCTGTACTACTTCAGAAGAAGAAAAGTTAACCGACTCTTTTTTTTTTTGGTAGTGTTCATGTTGGGGATGATGCCAACCCCAACACACCCAAACATTCCGGCTTGGCGGATAACGCCTTCCGCATCGCCGCAGCCGCTGCCTGCCTTCTACCACCAGCAGACGCTCCGCGGGGAACCGGAGGGTTGTTGATCTCACGTGGCCTCTTAAGACTGGTCTGCGAATAAAACAGGGGATCGCGGGCCGCTTTCTTCCGGCTTTTCACTCCCGCCAAGCGGGGGCGGGTTGGCCTGTTGGGAGATCTCTCTATTGAAGCGGACTGTCAGATATCTCGGTGGGAGATACTTCTAAAAGGAAGCCAAGGCAAGATAAATTCTCCGCCCTCGCAGCCTTTCAGCCCTCCCTTCTGATCCCGTGTATACACCACGAGGCAGAGAACTGAGGCAAAAAGAAGCAGCTTCCAGGTCCCACTGAACTGAAACATCTCCCACGGTGCTCCCAACTTGTAGTTTTTTCCACTGACTTCCATAGTGGAAAACACTATGTAGCACCCAAAATCGTTTGAAGAAACACCTGCCCAGCTCTGATAGTCTTAGCTTAAGATGCTCATTGAGCCAGTGAAGAAGCATAAGCATCCAATATCCTTTTTAAGCAACAAGCCTAAACTATACATTCCAACCCTGTAGCAGATCCAAATTATTCTCTTCTTGTCCCTGTTCTTGCGTGAACTCAGTACTGTTGGGAGTTGTGGGGTGGGAGATGACATTAACTAGTTAACATTAGCTCGAGACAGAGAGAAAGAACACCAGCAGACACATCAAGAGGCAGATGTAAATAAAATATTTTATTGTAACTTTTTTTGAAACACCGAATTCTCGCAATCCCCCAAACCAGAAAATCCGCTTTGTCACAATTTCAAACAGCTCACTTAATTCAGCAGCATCTTTTCCCAGTAAATTCTCCCCTCTCCTTCTTGCAAACTAGCTGCTTGGGAGACGTAAGAAAACACCGAGTGCGCATCATTTGAATAGCATTTACTATCAAACTGAAGGCCTTAGAAGTAGGTCGCAATCCTATCAATGACTCCTCAGAAGCTCTCGTTGCACAAAAATAATGTCGGAGGCATAGGATCAGGATATAGGATCGGAATGCGCAGGAGTCTCGTCTAGGTGGACTTAAGCTCATTCGGCAGGAGTGAAGCCTAACTGCACCTTGCCATGCTAAGATATTAGATCCGTTTCTTCCTAAACGTGGGCATCTTGTTCCTATGGCATGCCTCTTCCCCTAAGAAATGTTTCTAGTTCAATAACTTTCTCCAGGAAGATAAATTAGGAACAACTCTTGGAAGAAAGCTACTCATCGCGGATGGCTGTGGTTGTTGTAAATTCTCGCTTCTAGCTCCAGAAGAAGAAAATGTTGGAGGGGGTAGAGCGTCCATTCACTGGCCTGCCTGGACCACTTTGTTCTCAGAACAAAACTATGGCTCCTTCTTGGCTTTATGTGGGAGATCTGCGCCTGAGATCCGGTGTGCTGTGCCGCCAGGTCCTCCCGGTTTTCAAGAGATGTCCTCGTACAGCCACCGAACATAAGACGACTCCTCTTATTCGGTCAACCGCCAGGGGCCCTGAGACCTCCACCGAGCCATGCCGCTGGGTTGTTGTTTTTGTTTTGTTTTGTTTTTAATGTTTTGGAAATGTTCACCAGACTTTTACCCTTAGGCTGCAACCTTATACTTACTCACTCGGGACTAAGTCTTACCGAATTCAGCTGCGTTTATTTCTAAAGCAGGTTGATATAATGTTGCGAGATAAGAAAGAAAGAAAGAAAGAAAGAAAGAAAGAAAGAAAGAAAGAAAGAAAGAAAGAAAGAAAGNGAGATAAGAAAGAAAGAAAGAAAGAAAGAAAGAAAGAAAGAAAGAAAGAAAGAAAGAAAGAAAGAAAGAAAGAAAGAAAGAAAGAAAGAAACCAGATTAGAGTACGAGCTAGTCATCCACCGCAGGATACAGTTAATGCTATAATAAGAACAGTTGGATCTAAGGCACGTATTCATATATATCTATAATCTTAATTTGGGCGCAGGGACAATATTAGATCTGGCTGTATCGCTCTTGTCCACTCCTAAACTCCAGCGGGAACAACATGGTTGCTGAAAGAAAAAGAAAGAAAGAAAGAAAGAAAGAAAGAAAGAAAGAAAGAAAGAAAGAAAGAAAGAAAGAAAGAGAGAAAGAAAGAAAGAAAGGGAAGTTGCTGATCTGTAAACATAGTGGTGCTCCCCCAGGGAGTGAGAACTTCTGCGAACAATGCCCGCTCGCTTTGCCGCTGTGCTTAGCGGAGGGCTAAGCCCTGAAACTCTTAGCGAATCCCAGTTTTGTTCTCCCAGGCAGCACCTGCTGCCGCCGCCGCCGCCGGGACAGTTTGGCGACTGCGAGCGCCTCTCTCCCGAGGGAGCGGCAACCTCTCCGCTCTCTTCTGCCCACCCGCCCGCCTCCTCTCCCGCCTCTTCCCCATCGCAGCAGCGAGGGAGAAAGCGCGTGATAGGCAGGGACGCCTTGCCTGCAAAGGCTGGGATGCGTCCGGGCTAAGCCACAGGCTGGGGGTGGGGGTGGGGGGGGGGGAAGAGAGGGAAAGCAAGGGGTCGCTCCGGCGCTGGGGCTGCTGGGCTCCGTACCCGCTTTCGGGAATGAGGTCCCCTGACACCTAAGGGGCTTACTCCCGAGTAAACACGACCCTAAGGCCATTAAGCGCGCGGACACGGGTCACTTCTTAGGAAAGCACGACTAGGAAGCCGCCCAGCTAATATTTGAAAAGGAGCGCTAAAGAGTTTGGGTTTGTGGCCAAACGATCTCCGGGAAATAATCGGGGGTGGGGTGGGGTGGGGGGGCGATCTGCGGACGCGGCGATGAGCAGAGCCAGCGGACAACCGCAGCCACCTCATCCGCCGCCGATCAGTCCCGGGAGGAAAAGCAGGGGACGGAGTTGGAAACAGGGGCGGCTCCAGCAACCGAGCCAATGGCCCCGGCCAGCTGCTTCGGCCGATCCAGTCCAGTCCCGTTGTTTCCGAAAAGAATAGCCCTCCTCCCGCGGAAAGGAGGTCTCCTCGCCTCCTCTTTTCTTTCTCGCGCGGGCGGCTCGCCGTTGTGTGGTGGGGCGCGGGCGGGGTGGGAAGACGGGGGAAGGGGGGGAGAGAAAGACGCCGAAAGAGGAGGAGGGCCGCCGTCCGAGGCTTGGGGAAAGAATTCAATCAAGTTTGGGCACAAGGCAGGCAGCAACAGGAGAGCATCTCCGCCCCAGCGTGCGTGTGGTCAGTTTACCTCTGCTCGCTATTCCTGTAAAAGAAAAAAAGAGCGCGATTTTTCCCCCCAAAGCGTCGGGTGTTGTTTTGTTTTGTTTTAATAGGGGGCTCGCCATCATCTCCTTTCCCCCGCTCCCCACAATCAGGACTTAGCCCGC